CATTGATATAACTAATTAATATAATTAAGTTTATCACAACAGTTCGTGGAATTATTTCCGCATAATTTGATGAGTCGAAAGATTATTTACGCCTAACGAAGCAATTAAAAATTACGGAATAAATTCTAATCCATTTTTCTTTTAATAAAGCATATCTTTAAAATCTTTAAATTCGCATCACTTTTTTTCTTATAAATGTAAATGTTTTCTGCTCTGAAATATTGCGAGATATTTGAATGCGTAATGTCCGTCTGTTCTTAACGCGCACACTATGTTAGGTTTAGAGGAAATGAAATGTCAAATTTCGGTATTTTCTCTTTTCTGTGCATAAGCGCAGAATAATGCATGAAGTTTTACTTTAGGAGGGGACGCGAGCGGCAACAACAGCGCCAAATGCCGAGAACAAAATTTCAACACTGTGTTCTTCACTAGGGATTAATATCGTTTTGCATATTTACATATTCAAGTAACGCCACGTTTCTTGTCGAGAGGCAGGAGAAAAGAGAATATTCTTACTTCACTTATTACTCAGACCAGCATTAATCGTAATCGAGCATGTATATCAGTTTGAAATCCTTATAATTCGTAAACAGAAGTCGGGTATTTCTGTAGAATATCGAAAAAAATTAATGGTATCTACAAATTCAACAAGTCTTTAAATCATCTTCCACAATCTTCAAAATATCAAAGATTCCATGGGAGAATAGCAGTATTCTTACGAATAATTTGACTGCGCTCTAACTCGGTATCATATATTCCATGTATAAAATACTATGAAAGCATAAAGAATGAAAAGAGTAATACGATATATAAAACACTTTGTCGTTAAAAATATTGCAAGTACTGTTGAATATATATCATCGTTAATCTCTTAAATTCCTTTGCAGCTTTAGGATTCCAGATATATCTTAGAAAATATTGAAGATCCTTTTCAGTTTACAGATTACAAATTGTTGATGGTTAAAACCCTGGTTTGTAAGTCAAAATCAAATCAATATCGATTGATTTTTCTAACCGAAATCTACATTTTCTATTGATTTTCAAAGAAGATCAACATTTTATCAATGGTGCATCGAGAAGATTGATGTTTTATTAACGCTGCATCGATAAAATGTCGCTCTTCTTTCGAAGATCAATAGAAAATCTAGTAGATATCAAATACAATAAAGCAGTCCTAAAAATCAATCGACTTCAAATCGACTTGTGAATCCGAGAACTGTTGAAAGTTTTCAACAAATATTCATTATTTTTAAATATTAATGTGGCTTGAAATTAAAATCATTAAATTGCATAAATAAATTAATCGTACATCAATCATTATGAAAGTAAGAAAATATATAGAAAAAAGTAGATTTGCAAAAGCAGCGTGTTGTCGTAATAGAGTTATTTCACATAGTAATTCGTGAGCAACAAATGGCAATGCGATACTGCTATTATATAAAACACTTACGCCGCAGCATTCCGTTTACTTTCCTCAAATTCACGACAGAGCGAAGTCGGGAATGGCATTCGCGAACATTTCCAGAATGTCGATATCGAAGAGACAGTCTAAAATGTCGGCGGCCTCGGAACGACGTTTAAGATTTGACTTTCGCAGTGCGGGTATATATTCCTTCTGATAAAATTCAGTCACCCTTCTTCAATTCCTACACTTCCGTCGAATACTCGTTGCTGGAGAACGGGACGAAGGTTGCGGTATCGAAGTAAAAAGAAGATTTGAACGATGAAGGAGAGCATGCTGATGATGAAAGAAAAAAGGAATAAGAGAGAATATGGGGTGAATTACAGGATGCGTGCTGTTTCCTTTTCTAGGTCGTCTCTACTCCGGATTTTTTCCCTAATGGTTTTCAAGAGCTTGGAGGAACTAGATTATATGCATTTATTCTTTTATAAAAGCGAAGATAAAACCCTCCAATTTTTCTTTTTATATACATTGATCTTAGAATCTTTAAGATCAACAAGTATATTGATATATCAAAAATTAAACAGGTCTTAGTTATTAATACACGGAACCATATTACACATTGTATTGTTAAATTTATACGTTATAAAAGAATTTTGAAAAAATATATGTTACAGTTTAAAATAATAATTTCGAAATATTGAGTGTTAAAATAAATACTAATTTAATTATTTAACATATGTTCTTTACTTTCTAAATTTTATCTTTAATTAATTTACAAAATAAAAATTAAAATATACATATTTAGAAGATGTAAACAAAAGTATTTAAATACACAATAAAAATTAATTTATGTGAAGAATAAAATTTAAGAATTAATTATTTATATATGCAATTATATATAACATCTATTAAAAAAGTTGCAATAGATTGTAGCATACAGATTTTAATTACATCATGGAAAATTATAGTTTGATATTTTTTTATAGATATTTTGTTACAGTTTCTTATAAATATACATGCGTTAGTTATTTTCCCATAAATTCTACTCGTTCTCTTTACTCGCGTCACTTTGATGAAATATACTAAAAGTTCTCATAAATTTAAATTTGATATAAATGCTTTTTGAAAAAAATATGTGTATAAAAAATGTTAAAAAACTAAAAAAAGATATATTTTTGCAAGATTTTTGCTTTCAGTCATTTATATTCAAACCAATTTTTATTTATGTCTGTATTATTTATTTATGTATATTTGAAATAACTAAAATATTTGAACATTGGTTGTTGCTTTATTAAAAATATCTCGTTTCTTTACTTCAAACGTGACACAATTTAAAAAAATGTAATTTTTTAGTTAAAATAAGTAGCTTCTTGAAGTTTTCAAAGAGATTATAATACTTTCTACAAAGTGACCGATTTAGATTGTGTCATATTTGTAAACACAAAAAGAGAGTTTTCTTACAGACAACATTTAAAATTAAGACTATTTTGGTGATCAAAGTTTGAAAAAAATTGATTATTTTGAATTTAATCATTTTAGTAATAAAAATATGCATATATAAATCTATTTTATATACATATAACACTATTTTACGATATAATCATATAATACAAATCGATATAATGTTTCGTCATACTTATAATCTTCCTATATCTTCTTAAATAACTTACTTAGCCGTGAATAATGTGATATTTCTTCGCAATGTCGATACACAACACATCCCCGCGCAAAACAAATGTATTAACTGCGCGCATTCGTGTGTGATGAAAAATAAAAAGATCTCGCGTGGCACGCATTTGCAATCCAAAACAGTACAAGCCGACACACGGTCGGCTCGCATATTCGCTGCGCTTAATGCATTAAACGGACGACTCGCCGCGGTCGCCTGCAATAGCCGCCACAATGGAATTCAATTTTCGCAAGCGTGGGCACGAATGGCCGTCGATAAAGAATGGATAGATCCGTCGTCCGACGAATGAAGGAAAGAGACCGACATAGGCTTTTAACAGGAGCCTCCACAGCTCCAGAGCCGCTTTGTTCCCCTGTTTTCCCCGCCAACCGTGTGCGAACCACCTTCCCCCTGCTTGCATAGATCGGACTCCCTTCCTTCCTCACCCTCAGCTTACATGAACACCGCCAACTCTCCATGGCCGGGAGAATTCAGATAGCGGATACCGGATGCTATTATGCGCTACATATATATCCCGTGAACTTTACAGCCAGTAGCCTGCGATACTCTGAGGAATTTACAGTCTGAAAGATATTGCCAGGCGATACACATATACCGGTAGCACTCCGCCTTTCTACTCTAGGCTCTATATAGAGCAGGGATCGAATCGACGGAGGATGGAAGGTCCCGTGGGATAAGGAGATGATTTCTGTCCTTAAGAGGGTTTACCCCGGTTGTGTTGAAATCTTTCAAGACCTATCCTCTGCTCGTTCTCTCTCTCTCTCTCTCTCTCTCTCTCTCCCTCCCTCCCTCCCCCTCCTCTCCCTCTCATCTCTCTTGCTTCTGATTTCCTCTTTACATTTCTCACATCCTCATCGAATGCACGTGTCAGAAAAGAAACACCATATAATGCCTGTCCAACTGTCAATCCGACTTTTCTCTCTGTATATACCTTCGATCTTTCGCCTATACGAGAATGAAACGGCGTTCCATTTCGAGCGATCCGTGGGCGGACGGATGGGAACAATCGTGAGCTTTTGTTTAATTCCGAGATTGCACCACGAGACACTCGTCTCGAATGTTGATACGCGCAGATGGGAGTTCGCTTGCGCGAGTTTTTCTTTCCACGTTTCATTAGAGAGGAGACACTCGATAGTCCGGGCGGCTTCCTTGCGTAAATTTATCGTCTCGCTTGGAAAGTTTGATCGGGATTAAAATCACTGTGCGATCACGAGCGAAGTAATAGAGCGCGTTTGTTCTACTTGGCGAGAGTGTTTGAGGACACGGTAATGGATATGGCGGCAATCTTGGGCACATTATTATAAAGGAATTACGACAAAAAAAAATAAAAAGATTTCGTAATACGTTATAATTTTATTAAAAATTGAGGACTTTGCACGAATTCCTAGAATAGTTAAATAATAAAACCTTGTCATATCTATATTCAAACGATACTTCTTTAAAAATTAATTTATAATTAGTAATTTCCAAGTAATATAATGACTGATGAAGCAAAGTAATAAATAATGATAGAAGAATTTAGTCAACAATAATAATTTAGTTTTTAACAATAATCTGAAAGAAAAATTTAGTTAAAACTTTTATTAAATCTACATTCCGGTACCAATTAAATAACGAATAACCGACTAACTAGGGCATTTGCAATTGAAATTGAGAACATCACGTTTAACCCGCGCCTTCATAAAAATTTAAACTGAAAAGTTAGGAATGCTTAGTTTACATTTGCGTATGTACATACAGGTCGAGAACACGGTATCGGTTCTAGGTCACGTTTTACAAGTGGAAAATTTCTGTTTTTGTGGGCAATTTTCCGAGCGAAATTTGAAAACAAACTTTTGTCCCGGTTGCATGTTTTCCCGTTAAAGCGAGCGCTGATAGTGACCATCAACCTTTCCTCCATTACAGAAATTCTGGAGGAAGGATTCAACTGATACGCGTCTAAGCTGGGGATCCTGGAAAACTGTGCGACCGGCCAAAGGGCCGGTTAGAAACAGTACCTCTTCTTGTTCGCAAAGAGGATCAAGAAGTCTTATCGTACTTGCTACCTAGACAAAGAAAAAGAATCCAGAAGAGAAAAGAGACGACAGAGTGGAAGGAAAATAAGAAGGGAAACAGAAGATCGTTTCACAGGAAACGTGGTCCGGAAGATAAGTTAACTTGGAAATGTCGAGCATAGGCAGGAAGATGAAATCTCGGGCGAGATGTTCAAAGATCTCGTGATTGGTGTCAGTGCCTGACCGAGGTGGTAAGGTCGATTACGAAGATCGACCGTGATGGAGGCAAGAGCGAATGAATCGTTCGTGAGGTCGATCCTTCGAAATCTTTCGCTGACCCGCGAGCATCGGCACCTAGACGAGCCGCCTGGAGGAGAAGTGGCTACAAACGCCATCGATGTTGTCGCCACGACCGTGCAAGAGGAGAAGATGGTGGACTTTCTGGGCGATGCCCTTGCGGGGAATGATAGTGACGTTGATGGCGACGGATCCGGTTGGTTCAATGACTCGACGATCGCCACCTTCTCGACTCTGTCCGCCTCCTCGTCGTTCGCAGACTCCACGTCGTCATACTCTACGAGCGTTGACAACTATACCGGTAGCGTATCCGACCTCTTCGCCTTCGACGACCTGAGTGATTATATCAATCGACTGAACTACAGCGTTCTCGTGAATCTGACGGCCTACTACGACGGCGGCACAGATCTGAATCTTAGTAGCGTTAATTGCACGTCGTCGATAGTCGCCGGGGGAACCGTTAGGCTGGGCGAGTGCGAGACTGCCGGCGTCGACGAGAAGTCTATCGGTAACGTGCTCGTCATCCTAGCGGTAGTGAGAGAACGAGCATTGCAGACTGTCACTAACTACTTTATCGTCAGTTTGGCGGTCGCCGATCTCCTCGTAGCAGTGCTTGTTATGCCGTTCGCGGTCTACGTACTGGTAAGTCTTTGCAAAAATAACGCGAAACGACATTCTGATTTTATCACACTTCAATAGATATTTAAAATAGCTAACAATAAATAACACTTCGTAGTAAATGTATTACATAAAGAGATCTATACAGCACAGAAATACATAGCAATATTGTTTGCAGTGTTTGCTGGAACATTGTAATTGGTACAATATTGGAATGATCTGTGCTATATGGGGATTATATTCTAATCAAATATCTGTAAATATTTTTTCAAATATCTCGAGATATCTTATTTCTCGATTTTTTTCTAAAAAAGTAATTCATTCTAGATATGTAATGTACGCGCATACTAAGAGAAACTTATAATCGTTAAATTGCAGGTGCTTATTTCATTGTTGCATAGCGAGGAAATGTTACTTTGCTGATTATCGCGTTCTAATTATACGAACACGGAGCGTATAGTTGTAAAGATATATAACGCACGTATATAATCCATTTATCGTTCATTTGATGTGAGTAAAAATTTTAGAGCGATATTTCTGTCATAATTAATCATGTAAGACATTCGAACGAAACTTAAAGACTTATCATTTAATGCGGTTTTATTTCGCAAACGCAGTTGATGGAATTAATATTACTAATTATAGGTCATTGCATAATTTGTAAATAAGTTGAAAACTCCGGAGGGGCGGAGTCTCTCATCGATCGCGAGTTTAGCTGCTAATTAGACGCTATACGTTACACAGCGTTTGCATGCACTCAATTACCGCCCTCACCTTCAAAGTACACGAGAAAAGGAAATTGAGTAGCGTTCGCTTTTAAACACTTTGATCTCGCTAACACTGAGGTGTCGGTAAAAAAAGTGAGATTTTTCCCGTTAATCAAAAGAAAAAATTAATTTCCAAAAATCAAAACAATAAAATGTAAATTTGCTACGAGTAATAGAATTTCGAACTTCTACTTGTAGTTCTAACTATGTAGTAATTTTCAAGTTACATATACATATAGTCCGAACAAAAACAAAATCAAAAGTTCATTGCAGAGCTATTTGATTCTATAGATCATTGTGGCGGACCAGTTTGTTGATTATACAAACGTGTTAGCTAATACAGCTGAATTCACTAGCTGTAACCATTGAAAATATTGACACTGCATATAATGCATTTCATATGAGAAAGAATTCGAATGCTAAAAATTTATTCCTTACAATTTTCGCATTTACATAAATAATTTTATTGACATCCACAAAAATATTATCTTTGCGTGTACAATTATCGAATAAAATATACATTATTTGATCAACAATAGAAATGCTCTTTAGAGTCAATGCGAGTGTAAAAATTAATTTAGTTTTTTACTGAATAAAGATTAATTAGTTGTCAAATAATTTATTTACTTATAAATGTATAATAAATAAATAAATTATACAAATAAATAAATTATTATTAAAGTGAAAATTATTATATCAAAAATTAAAAATCAAATAAATTTTAAAAGATAATTATTAGTTGACTGGAATTGTATTTGAGGCATACTTATTATTATACAACTGTATTATATTATAACTAATATATATCAAATACAGTAAAACTCTGGTTGAATTAGCTGTATTGTTAATTTATAGCTCAATAAATTAATGATAAAACTCTAATTAAAGGGCAACAAATAGTTTCAAAAGATAAAGTAAACGCTATTATATCATAGAGGACTTAAGTTTCACAAAAGAAACGTATATATAAATTTAAAACTATTCCAAGGGTTATAAATTGCAAGAAATGAAAGACTAAACTTCCAAGTCACGTTAGAGACTGAGATATTGCCAGTTATGATGTCGCGTGGTGATAATGCATAATGCGATAAAAGAAGGAGGAGGTTATTTATAATAATCAAGACGTTAAGTACAAGAATGTTATAACAGCGCGAATCATCTGCATTGAATTTATCCAATGGACTTTCATGCATTCAGTTTAATCATCAATTAAATACACGCTGCGGCGACGGCGTTGGAATAGCTGCAGTTATAAAGATGATGTCGAAGCTAAATGCCATTTAGTCACGTCTATCAAACTTATAGTAGTCGGAAACAATTTTCGCCGACACTAACATAATGTGCAGAAAATGCATCCATTCTTCTGTTTTTCTGGCATTGCAATAAACAAACGAAACAAAGTGAAAAAAGTTAATTAACACATCCGAGAAAATAAATGCGCAATATAAATAAATACAGTCGTAAAGATAGAAATATGAGATCGAAAGAGTAAAATGGGGAAGTTAAATACGGAATAATAAAATTGAATGATATAAAAAATAAAAAAAAGACCGTTGATTACAAAATCAGTTTGAAAGGTTAAAGGTCTGCTGCGAGTTAAATGCAAACAGAGGTGCGATGTAATTAAATGTGTAAATATTTAAAACAAACGACAAAAGATCAATACACGTATAATGTAAACGTAGAAACATGTATGGATCCATATATTAGTAATAAATCAATGACTATAGAATTAAATGTAATATTAATTAAAATATTTAATTCAAAAGATTTTTACTTGATAAAATTAAAATTTCATATAAAGGACAAGTTACAATTAAATTTTCTTTTAAAAATTCAATGTGATATTTAGATAAAAATAATATTAAAAAATATAAAAAGTAAATTATTTATCTTCTAAGATCGCATTACAGTGTATTTTTTGTATTCGCAATATTGTGTTAGAATTTGAATTCTAAGATAAAACACACGGTTCAGACTTGCGCCAGACTTTCGTTTTAATCGTTAGCAGGCCATTTGCTTATCCTGGCACGTTTCGTATAGATTACATCGCACGTCTACACGTGATCTTATTTTAAACTCGTCAACGGTAGAAGATGCGTTTCGTTCCCGATGCACGTCTTTACAAACGCGAAACTGAAATGAGGAAGAAGTGAAGATGCATATTGCGGAGAAAACACGAACAAATGGCAATTTTTAAAAAATAGAAAATCCCGATGCGCGGTCTCATAAACTCGGGACAGCCGTCGATCCGATCTCGGTCCACGATCTCGATTTCGGCAATACACACCGACCGAATTGAACGAGGTAAAAGTGCGATCGGTCAATTAAAGACTACGTCCATAACATCCCGTGCGAACGCTCGTCAATACAGTTTTCAGAGCATGCCTGGACGCGTCCCACATTTTCTGCGGCACGCATATAGTGATTGTACCTGCGTCCGTACGTGTATTTTGGGTGGAATTGTCGACAAAGATAGATTGCTAAAAAATCCGAAGTGAAATTTGCTTTCTGCACTGCGATACGGAATATACGAATATTTTTCCTGATTAAACTCTTTCAATAATTCTGTTAAATCAATAATAATAAGTTCATAACATGAAAACCTACGATGGATGAAAATTCATCTATTTGCAGTTATATGTCTCGCATCGATTGACAGTTTGTATGATGGGACAGTTATTTATATGGATAAGAAAAATTACGACATCAATTGCATGAAAACTGAAGATGATCAATTCAAAAGAATCAAATTGACAAGCTATCAACATGTAAGCGGTCGAAATGTAATCAAATTTTGTTTGATATGTTGTTTGATTAATTGTGAAGTAACCTTTTTAATTTTAATTTAAAATACTGTGTGGATGATGTATAACAGAAAAGTTGAAACATAATCTATATGTTATTACTATAGGATATGAATTTATAAAATTATTTATAAAACATTCAGCATAAATTTTCATGCTTTTGATTTATTATATTAATGATTTAATTATAAAGATTTTATCTTTTGAATTTTGTTAAAATTGTTTTATAAAATTGTTTTAATAAAATTTGAATTTACTAAAAATTTTCCTTCATAATATGACTTTAGAATTTTATACGAACAGTTTAGTTATTACATTTAATAGAATATTATGCAACTTCTACGTTGATAGAGTTTCGCGCTCACTCAATAAGCATCTCATATCACTGTACCAGAGTTAAATAATGACTTCGACCAAATAATTTGCTGGTTTCGAGATTGAGTTAGTACAAACTGTAACTACAAGTTCCACAAAATTAACAAAGACCCACATAATATAACTGGATGCTGTATTTAGTGGAAGTTCACGACCGTAATCAATAAATTTCTAATGGTCGGTGGAAATCTCTTCTTAATTTTGCAACGGATGGCAGATGAGTATCCCGTTTTAATTACACCTTAAATAATTTCATTTTCCGCTCTTGAATCCTTGACATCCGACCGAATGGCGACCAGCACCGCGTCAGATTACATGATAAAATCAAGGTGCAGCTTCACCTAAGTGCAAACACGGCGGAACGTGCCGAGATCGTCTTTCGGCCGCTTAAATGGTCGTTTCGGACAAATCTCGCATTAAGCGATTTACTAGCACGGCATATATGCGCCACGAAAGTGTCGTTGTTGAGTTCGGGGCACTTTACCCTCTTTGCAGTATGCTCAGTGTGTGGCAGTGTCATCCTCCCTTTAAATGGTGAGTGAAAAATGGTTGCTTTCACCGCGTTTGCACTTCGAATTCCTTCAACTGCTTTCGCGATAATATTCCGCGAAGTCTCCGCAGCTAAGTCGTAAGTTACAATCCTCTATGCTTAAACAATCTTGTCATACGGAATACGCTAAAAGAAAGTTTGGTATTTCTTTCCTAAAAGAGAGAGAGAGAGAGAGAGAGAGAGAGAGAAAATCAATTCTAAAGTACTTATATATTAAAGTTGTAAAGATAATTACATTACAGAGAAATATGAAGAAACTTGAATTATTCTTATCGAAAATTTCAACATTATTCTATTTTGTCAATAATTCGCTCAATAAATATCTTTTCTAATAGTTGAGACAATTTATATAAATTTATATACAATTTATATAAATTTATCGTTTTAATTATATTTTACGTTTTATACTTTTATTTTACATTTTAAATATATCAAGTATTTAAATGTTATTGAAAGGACGTATCGAAAAATTAAATAAAATTTAAATTTATTTTTCTCAATTGTAGTAATATTTGTTCTATTATA